TAAGAGGGGACCTGCTTTTTTGAGAATACAGGCAAGCTGAGATTGAGTGGATATGGTTGACCTAGAATAAAGTGGGCCAAAGTCAGGCAAGCATTCTTCATTCTGCTCCCTACTCTCTGAGTCAGCTCAGAGATGACATTGCCCTATGTGGGCAGCCGCCCATGGGCCACTCAGATGGCTTCCTCCTTTGTCTCCACTGAACCCCCATTCACAGCCTCCTGTTTCTCGATATGGTGCAGCAGGCCACCTGCTTCCTACATACAGTGGCTGGAGTTTAATCCTGTAACCCATGACCCAGGGGCTTGTCCATGTGCAGAAAGGGGAGGAAACCCCCAGACTGGCCCCCTTTGTAAAATTAAATGTTTTCAGGCTTATCCTTTTGCCTGTCCGATCTCCTTGTAATCCCCAGATGCCCTAAGTGTTAACAGCCATAGCAGACTCTTGTATGGCACTTGCTATAGGCAGGCCCTGTTCTGAGTGTTTTATATATGCCAACTCAATTGATCTAATCCACAGCCCTTTGAAGGAGGGGCTTTATTATCCCCATTTTACAGATGAGAAAATCGAGGCGCAGCGAGATCAAGTAACTTTCCCGATATTACACATGTGCTGCGGAAGGTGTGCATGTCGATAGATTTCAGCCTGCCCCTTCCCCTTATCTTGGGTGTCCCCTTTTCTCCCTGTCCCCTTACAGTCACCCCAGGGGCTGGCTCAGCCACCGCCCCAGCTCTGGGAGACCATAAGCCCACTCCCTACAACCCACGCCTGGGAGCTTTGTCCCACCTGAATTGGATGACCTCCTTTCCCAGTGCTCCCATTCCCAACCCAGCAGGATCCCTCCCACAGTCCTCCTTTCAGGGATCCCCAGGGCCCTTGGAAGTCGCCTTGGCTGGGCCCCAGGAGGACGAGTCCATGTGTGATTCGCCCTTTCAAACGGCCTCACTTCCGGCAGGGCTGAGAGCCAGGAGGCTCCACGAGGTGGCTCAGGTCCAGCCATGTGAGGCCCTTTCCCCTCCCTCCAGCTGCCCCAGGCCCCATGACTCAGAGCCTGGCAGCTGCAGTCGCCACCCCCTCCCAGGATGCCTGTGCCCGTGTGGGCTGGGTGGGGCAGAAACAGCCCGAGCAGCACTGCCTGGCACTCATGCAAACTCCCGAGTGGATTGGGTGGGATTGCTTCTTACTTTCTGTTCCATAACCAACTGTCATCTTTGAACAATAGACTGAATAACTTCACATCATCCAACATTTTCTCAAGGCCAGACTTTCATGGCTGCAAAACAGCCACTTGTCCGTCATTACTCAACTTCCCTGTCCTGATTGTTTCCAGATCCCACGCGGCCATGGGCCTCCTTGTCTAAACACCCTTCCTTTTCTGTACCACCAACGGTGCCTATATGTTCAGTTCTAGGGATAAAGATTTTTTAGAAATCATAAGTTTTCTAGATAGTTGTGAGCTGTCGTCAGTGGATGGACACAAGCCAGTGACATAGCCAATT